GGATACCGATAGCGACGTGATCACAGCGCCTCCGCGGAGAGTAGTAACCACGCCCGCGAGACCCGCGATTTGACCTGTTTTGTGAGAAAAGAAAAAGGAGCATACATTGCAAGGAGTTTGTACTATGGAGTAATCACGGTGGGAACATGTTTTTTGATTGGCGCGGTATCCAGTCGTTTCTATAAAACCAAGGCGGACTAGATGGCTCAGGCCGCGGACAGACTTTTGATTTTGGCGTTTGTTCTCACTGTACATTCTTAAGATACTGTACACTTATGACGACTGATGAACAACCATGCGCGGTCCGACTTTTACATGACTTTCTGATGGATGCTGAGTAGCTTGCGTAGATCAGGCCTCAATATGGCCAGTTCCAGAGACATGGTTGTTGAATGTGTTTGTCGCCGTGGCCAATGCCTCAGCCCCTGTGTCAGTCACAATGTCACCTCATATGAGTCTCAGATGGCCATCACCGCCTTTAGTGTTTAATGTGATTTTGTTCATGTACACGACTCTACACAGACCAATGTTGTACAGCTCGTCCGTTTTTTTCCTAATCGTACATTCCACCAACGTACAAGCCTTACTCCCGCATCAACCGCGTCCTCTCCAATCAATATCTCGTCTTTATCTTGTACACAAAGCCTTCAAGAAGAGATAGACCGTCCCATAATCCCCCGGCCCCATTTCTCAACCCCTTCCCCAATCTCTTTAAAACCTCGAACCAGCCCTGCCCTTGCTGCGCGAGCCGTACCTCTCCTTCTTCCAAGCAAAGACGAGGTGATCGACGTTGCCCATGTCGTGTTTGGGCTTGCGCAGGTACGTCAAACGGGCGCGGCGCGCGCGCTTAGGCCGGCGCCAGACGATGTCAATGCCGATGACGGTCGGGGAGTAGATCTTGTACCACATTTCGACGCCGACCTTCATGAGCTGGCCGCGGAGGAGGATGCCCGTGTCGACGCCGCGGCGGCGAATGGACATGCAGACGCCCGAGAAGGGTTCTCCCGATTTGGTGGTCACCATGAGGACGTCGCCTACTTTTGCGGCGTCGGGGCGGGCTGGGTCGAAGAGGCGGGTGCGGGCGCCGGTCGGGTCGAGGGTTGTGCGTTGGGCGGCGTCGAGGGAGGGGAGAGGGTTCTTGTGGGTTGTTTGGCGGATTGAGGGGAGGGGAGGGTAGACTGCAAAGGTTGGCTTGTTGCGGGGGCCGTCTATGATATTGTGTTAGCTTTCCGAGGTTTCGTATGGTCATTGTAGATGAGGGAAAGCTTCAGCTTACAGTAGGAGGGCTTCACTGAGGGCGTCACCGGTGAGGGTGTAGATGATGGCGGCTCGGGGGCGGCGGCGGTGGCCATGGACCGGGTGAGGAGTCTTTGGTGCCGCGTCTGGCGGAGGGCCGTCTTCAGGCAGCCCATCGGCCGCAAGAGACTTGCGGCGTTCATTGTGGTGATGGTGTCTTGTCGTGGGACGGGACGATGCAACTTCGTCTGATCGAGCGACGACAGGCAGAGCTTGGTTAAAGGGTTCAAAAAGTTCGAGAGGCTGTTCGAGGTGCGAATTGCGGGCTGTGATTGGCTCGGTGCATCAATGATGCGGAGCCGCCGGGCCGGGAACTCTTTCGATCCAAAATTTTGGGTGGCTACCCTGCAGGCCATTCCCGCGTAGCTCCCTTTTCGCCGACGACGGATGAAGGAAGCCTCTGTCGAGCTTATACACAATCCAAATCGCCCATCATGTCGAGGATATTAATGGGAAGGGCCCTTAGGGGCGCCAAGGCGTCGGTGTGGGATCAGCCGGCATGCATGGCACAGCAGCAGCGGTCCTTTGGTCAGACGCCTGCCCGTCAAAGTACGTCGTCTCGTGATAGATCTCGCATTGATTCTATGAAGTGTACAAAAAGGACAAAACTTTGGCTGACAGCTTGACTTTCTTTTTCAGACCCCCAAGTCCTCTTCGACAAGACCACGACGCCCGGCCTCGGCCCGATCCTCGAGGAGATCCAGACCAACATCATCCTCCCCTACCACCTCCCCATCCACCAGCGCAAGCGCGTCTTCTCCGAGAAGCTCAAGCACCGCCTCAAAAACGACCCCGTATACCTCGAGATCGACGGCCTGGAGCACCGCTTCAACCACATCAACGAGGAGGCCCTCCCCCCCTCGCGCGACATCACCTGGAAGGCCCTCCGCGCCATGGAGACCCCCCAGGACTGGAACAACTTTGGCCGCCTGCTCTCGGGCATGCGCACCGCGGGGCGCCACTACAGCCAGACGGATTTCGCAAAGATGATTCGCATCGCCGGCCAGCAGGGCCAAATTTACACCATCATCGAGGCGGCGAGACAGGTCCGCAAGACGGGGATGAAGCTCGACAACTCGGAAAAGGTCAACGAGGTGCTGCATTTCGTACAGATGCGCGCCGTTGAGAGCGAGTGGGACCAGGAGAAGACGAAGCAGGCGCTGCGGTGGGCCGAGATCGTGCTCGAGATGCTCGAGGACAAGGGCCACGCGCCCAATGCCCGCAAGCTCAGAAAGAGACAACTTGCTCAAGAGGGCGTCACTGCGGAGCAGGAGCGCTTCGCCCTCTACAACGACCCGCAGATCATCGGCGCCGCGCTGCACCTGTCGGCGGTGCTGGCCGTCAAGCACAACGACAGCAAGGACGTGGACGGCAAGGTCGGCCGCCTGGCCAAGAAGCTCGTCGAGCGGTGGCCCGCCGGCAAGGGCCTGCTGCAGCTCCACCCGGCCGAGGCGTACGCCGACCGCGTCGACGGCGTGGCGTACCTCGTGCACAGCCGGACGCAGTACCTCTCGTACGCGAGTCCGATCCTGCACGGCCTGTTCCTGGCCGCGCGCGTGGTGGAGAAGCCGATCGCGGACCGGTTGAATGCCATTGCGGCGTCGTTGGGACCCGAGGTGAAGGATGTTGCTGAGAACCAGACGTTCCCTGCCGAGCGTGGGCTCAAGACGTACAATGCGCTCTTTGGATCCGAGTAAGCGGATGATGTACGGCATAGACAGTTGGACTGGGAACAAGAGGTGTGTGATAATAGGAAGACATGGGGGCGACGCTGGAAAGAGCGGTGATGGGAAGCGAAGAGAGGGGGATGAGAATCAGAGAGGCTCCAAAAAGGGGCTATGTACAGCTGATATGTAAAATTATCTATGTATACAACACAAATACGCACACAACCAACGACCAAAGACAAGGTCCGCTCTACAACCACACGACCAACAAACTGCCTAAGGCAAAACAATGTACTTTTCCAGATGCTTCGGTATCGCCCCCAAAAGCTTCTTCTCCTCAAGCCACTTGCGCGAGAACAGCCGCTCGGCATACCGATACGCGCCATCGCACAGGATCGTCACGACGGTGTTCCCCTTGCCGAGCTTTTCGGCCACCTCCTTCGCGGCGACCACGTTGAGCGCCGAGCTGGCGCCGAGGTACAGCCCTTCCTCGTCGAGGCACCGGTACACCATCTCGATGCTCTTCTCGTCGGCGATCGTCAGCGACCCGTCGACGAGGCCGATGTCGGGCTGCAGGTTGTCCGTGATGCGGCCCTGGCCGATGCCCTCGGTGATGCTGGACCCGCTCCGCTCGACGAGCTGCCCGCCCGAGGAGACGTACGAGTGCAGCACGCTTCCCGGCGGGTCGGCGAGGAAGGACTTGACGCGGCCGTTGGAGATGTCTTTTAGGTAGCGCGTCGTTCCTGCCAAGGTTCCGGCGGTGCCCGTCGCGCAGGTGAAGGCGTCGATCTTGCCCTGCGTCTGCTCCCAGATCTCGGGGCCCGTCGTCTCAATGTGCGCGCGGCGGTTGGCCGTGTTGTCGAACTGGTTCGTCCACACGGCGTTGTCGAGCTTCTCGGCGTGGCGGCGCGCCTGGTGGTTGTAGTTCTCCGGGTTCTCGAAGGCGACCGCGGGGACGGGGTAGACTTCTGCGCCGAGCAGCCGCAGCAGGTCGATTTTGCCCTGGGACTGGGTGTTTGGCATGTAAATGACGAGCTTGTAGCCGCGCGAGCGACAGACGTGGGCGAGGCCGATGCCCGTGTTGCCCGCGGTGCCCTCGACGACGGTGCCGCCCGGCTTCAGGAGGCCGCGCTCCTCGGCGTCCTTGACGACGTAGAGGGCGGCGCGATCCTTGACGGAGCCGCCTGGGTTCATGAATTCTGCTTTGCCGAGGACTTCGCAGCCTGTTTCGGCGGAGAGGCGGTTGAGGCGGATGAGAGGGGTGTTGCCGATCGCTAAGGGAGGTTCGGGTCAGTGGATTGTGCTAGGAATGGGGTGTTCTATTGGCCTGTTCCTTCGTGTGAAGTCCGAATTGAGAGTGTGAGGGAACATACCGCCAGTGAGGCCCTTGACGACGCCTTGCGCGCGGGAGAGGTTGAGGGAGTAAGCCGTCGGCGGGTCAATGGCGCGGACGGCCGTCGTCGCGAAGCGACGCACGGCGATGCGGCTCATGTTGGGCTTTCTGGTTGCGGGAGCTACCTCAAAGCAGGACTCAAATATTCAACTAATCAGTTGGCCGTGTTGCGAGTGTGTGGTAGGAAGAGAGCTCAGGGAATTTGAGTCGATGTGCTGAGGAAACGGGCCTCCGGCATTCGGCTTTCTAAGCTTGCAAGCATGCATCCGTAGTGGGGGGGCTTTTCTTCAATTGGGTTCAGCTTTGGCAATCACGTCAGAGCCGCTAGCGGCCGTGAGAGTGGGGCGCGCGGGTGACGGGGCCGGGGGCCGGGGGCCGGGGGCCGGCAGTCGGTCACTACGACGGCCGAGCCGGATGGACTCAATTCCTTATATCTGTTTCTTAAGATTGTTGGTTGTGACCACGACACAGAGATCGAATCAACAGTATTATAGAATCGAGATATTCTACGAAGCGATCCTCAATGAACCAAGAATTATCCATTTCGCCTATTACTGGGAGAGTATTCGAGTTGGGGATACGTACTCACCCAAGTCGCCGATGCATATTCAGATTCCCCCCCAATGACCACTGGCCAATTACTATCATGCATGATCATCAAGCCGTCTCACGTACGGCGATGGGAATAATCCCTTCGCGCCCATGTACACCCCGAAAAACCAGTCCCCGTTCACGTCCTCAATCTCCCGGATCTCGGCCCCCTTGGGGAACAACAGCTCGTCTTCGGCCTTGGGATACCACGCCCACGTCGCCGTCGCCCTCATACCGACTCCGCCGTCCGCGGGGAACCCCTGCGCGAGGCCCTCGCCCGTGGGTGCGTCCGCCGCAACGTCCCTGGTCACAAAGCGCTCCCGCGTCTGCCCGCCCTCGTGCCACCACCACTTCTGCGGGGCCTGGTCGTCGGTGCCCTCCGACTGCGTGATGCGGAGGTTGCGACCGCCCACGAGGTCGGATAGTATGTGCCGCAGCTGCCCGCCCGGCCCGTCGCGGAAGCCGACCACGATCATGCGGTGGCCGTTGAGACACCGGCGCCAGCCCGCGTGCCCGTTCTCGGGACTGATTTGATCGCGCGCTTCAAGATTGGCGTAACAATTTGTGCATACATCGTAGTCGCCGGGTTGCGTGTCCGGCTCGATGGAGCTGGTGCAAGTGAAGCAGTGATATCGGCTGTGGCTGGGAGAAATAGGGTCCTGACAGACGTCGCAGCGCGTCGTGAACGTCAGGGGCTTGAAGGGGCCGATGTTATGAATGTTAGGCCCCGTCAGCACAGCGGCCGCGTGAGGCGGTTGAGGCGACCTGGGACTGGCAGGCGGCGTGTGTGACGGCTGAGGCTGGTACGTCAGAGGCAGAAGCGGATGGGTGCATGATCGTCCCTGGTTCACGCAGTTATTGCAGAACCCCCAGTCGCCAAAGTTGCAAAAGTCGCAGCGCCAGAAGCACTCGTTCGCCCAGGCCTGGCATCGAGCACAGAAGTTGCCGCTTTCCAGCCGCTTCATCGGATCGTCGGTCGTGAGAGTTCGCCTACCTTCCGCTCCACCCGGAATGATTTTGGGCTGTAAGTAACGATTCGCCGTCAGCATGTGTGGTCTGGGTATATCCTCATGTGCCGTGTGTCGAGCCTTTTCCCACTTGGCCCACGCTCCGTACCCGAAGCCAAACCAGTGCAAGCAGCCTTTGCCCGACCTGTAACAGTCGATGCAAATATTCCAATTTCCGCTGGCGCAGATGCCGCAGTTGTAGTGTAGGTCGTATTCGATATGCTGCTTCGCGCAGCGGGAACACGTAATAGAGGGCTCGGGGTATAGTTGCGAGCGTGTTCGTTGATGGCCAGGGGTCGTCGGACTCCCGATTCCCAAACCCAAACCCAATCCGACAGGACCTGAAGTTGCCTGGCTGATGATGGACAAGTCTGCCGGCCGGTTTGGCCGCTGCAGCCTAGGCGATAACGGCTCGATGGGCGGAGACGCGGCAAAGTTGGAAGACACCAACGCAGAAGAATTCGTCATGCGGTTGGCAAAGGTAAGCTCGCGCGGTGCTGGCGAAGTGGTGGTCGTCGGCGACTGCGTCGTGGTAGGTACTGATGGCGTACTCGAGCTTCTTGCCTCGGTGAAGACGGTTCTCGGGGCGACTGCTTCACCAAAGTGTGTTCGTGACGACAGATCGGTCTGCGACCGAGTGGTGACACGGGTCTCGGACTGCGTTGCTGGAAGGGGTGTCGTCGCGCTGCGACCGCCGCTCGAGGTTCGCCTCCGTCGCCGCCTCTCCTCTGGTCGAACTTCGAGGTGCAGGGCACTCTGTGAGAGTGGCGGCCGGCTGCGATCTTCGGGGAAACCAGTCGCACTGGTTGACCTTGAATGCGGCCGTTGCCTGCTACTGGGCCTGCTGGTGTCCGATGCACTTGACCTGATCTCCTGCACGCGATCTGGAGAGTGCCTGGATTGGCCACTCGTATCCCTCCTCCTCGTTCCCTCGGCCCTCGCGCGCTCTCGCTCCCGTTGCCGTCGTCTGTAGGCCTCCGTAATCTTTCGACTCAGCTCATCGTTCCGGCTCAGGTCGATGTTGTCCAGATCAAGCCCGTCCAACAAGCCCTCTTCCTGGATCTGCCTAGCAAAATCTTCGATTTCCTTCTGAACGTCGCGCTCGCTCAAATCGCTTGAGCTGATGAGTGATCTGAGTGACGACTGGTGCTCGATTTGCCGACGCCTCATGTCAGATGACTCCTGGGCACGCTGTCTCGACTCACTCCTCCGCCGTCTCCTTTGCTCGCCCGACCTCGAGTCCGGCTGCAGCTGGTCCCCAGTAGACCTCCCTTCGTCGTCTCGCGGTCTCCGACTGCCCTCGTGTCTATGGGTATGGCGACTATCCCGACTGTGATCCCGGCTCCGCCTGGTTCGTCCATCGGCAGAGCTACTGTCCTCTCTCCGCCGTCGATGTCGATGTCCCGAGAAAGAGTCTACTCCAGCGTCTCTGAGGCTCATCTCCCGCACATCTTCCAGCAACCTCCTCTCTTCCTCGTCTGCGCGCCTCTCTTCCGGCGTTCTCTCGGGAATCTTGACTTCGGGCAGCACCTGATCACCCGGCTTGTACTTCTTCACCATTTCCGCCACGTCGGATTCGGATCTCCTCCTTTCCGGGTTCGCAGCCACAAACATGTCGAGAAGAGTGGCGACGGTGGCATTGTGCCTCGTATCGCGAACCGGCGCACGACATGACGGGCAGGTGAAGATGTTTGTCCCTGGTGCGGGCGGGGTCGGTGAGTTCTCGGCCTGCTGTGCTTGGAAAGAGAACCAGTCCTTCAAGCAGGCACCGCAGTACGTGTGTAGACAGTCGAGCAGAGTCAGGGGCTGGTAAAGCAGCTCGGTGCATATCTAGAAGAAGGCAAGAAGAAAAGTCGGTCAGCGCGCATATAATCTCTAGAGTCCTGCAGAATTCAATGGGGGTTGCAAAAAAGTGCCCCTCTCCTAGGGCGACGCTACAAGCGTTGGATCAGACGACAGCGGGCGAGAACTTACAGAGCACGTCAACTCCCTCTCCAGATCGAGTGCGGGCTTTGAGGAATCCATGCGGGAACTGTCGCTCCGCGCGATCCCTGGAATGCCGGACACAAAGACAATGTCATGAGGAGATTTGTCCAGCGGGATCGCGAGGGGAACATGTCGGTTTAAGACTGGCTGTCAGGCGAGCCTTAGGTGAAGTGGGTGGCGGGGCCGAAAGCTGGGCGCGCCGTGGCCGCTGTAGCAGAAGCACCTCACAGGCTCAAAGGGTTACAGGCTCAGAAGGAAAAAAGGTGTGTAAGGGGTCAGAAATGGTCAGAGACCGCCCTGCGAGATGACCCCGACAAATGGATTGGACACTAAGGTACGGGTCCAGTGGCCTACAGGCTACGGCTGCCCGCTGCCCGCCCCAAGTTGGGTGTCAACCCCACGTTGGTTCCCGCCCGCCGCCGACCCCTACCCCTGCCCTTAGCTTCAAAAAGCACCCCAACTCCCACGCGGAGCCAATAAGCTGAGATCATTGCAACCCCTCCGGTACATTTTGGGACGGGCTAGCCCCTTGTAGGCTCCTAGTAATACGAACTCAACGCCCACCGACTCTCCGGACTTCTTCAGACTAAAGGTTTAAACTGCGTATTCTCGGCCAGACATGTGCGCTGCTCGTAAAGGTTCAAGACTCTTTGGTTTATGTGGCTTTCTACGCGTTGGCTCAGGTAGGCGAAGAATCTCGGAACTAAAGTCACCATGCATGGAAGCGAGTGCTGTACGAGAGAGACCCCGAAAAGTAACATCATCCTTTTTCCTGCAGAGCAACACAGCCAAGCAAAAATGTGGTGCTGGGCTGACTGTATGCTCTTGCATGATCTTTTTCATGCCGAGAAGTTTGACGGATTTCCCCAAATACATGCACAAATTCATTCATCCAAGATCATAGTTGCACAACATCATGTCTTTGCCAGACTCGGCTATTTCGCATACAGCTAGTCTTCTCACAAGCATAACGCCCTCAAGAGTGAGTCCACTCTGCCTTCTTCTTCTCGGCGAATGCCTTCATGCCAATCTTTTGGTCGTTGCTGCCAAACAAACTGTGGAACACTCTTCTCTCAAACTCGACACCATCCCTCAAAGGCAAGTCCTGGCTCTTGTTTACAACTTCCTTGCACGCGTTGATGGACACCCTGGAGTAGCCAGCAATGGTCTCTGCCGTCTTCAACGTCTCCTCCATGAGAACCTCGTATGAAGGGAATGCCTTGGCCGCGAGACCCCACTTCTCGGCATCGGCACCGCTAAAGGACTTGCCCGTCAGAATCAACTCCATGGCCTTGGACTTTCCGATGGCTCGGGTGAGTCTCTGGCTGCCGCCAGCACCCGGGATCGTGCCGAGCTTGATTTCGGGCTGGCCAAAGTTGGCAGTCTCGGTGCAGTAGAGGATGTCGCACATCATGGACAGCTCACAGCCTCCGCCGAGCGCGTGACCGGAAACAGCGGCGATGATGGGCTTCTTGACCTCGGTGGTGAGGAGCGACCACGACTCGATGAATGATTTGGTGTATGCCTCTGAAAAGGTGAGAGGAGCCATCTCCTTGATGTCGGCACCGGCGGCAAATGCCTTTTGGGAGCCGGTCAAGACGATGACGGATGTTTCGTCTGACGCGTTGAAAGCCCTCAGCGCATCATTGAGTTCATGGATGAGGGGAGTGCAGAGGGCATTCAAGGCCTTGGGGCGGTTCAACGTCACTAAAGTGGATCATGGTGAGCATCGCCGTCGTAGAGTGATGATTGATTACGGCTGGAACAGCAGTTACCTTGGCCAACACCAGGCTTGGGCTGAGAGACCTGAATGAACTCGTATGTCTTGCTGGCGAATCCGCGTGTGAGTCTGGGCAGCGTCGGCGCCTGCATTCGCGAGGCCACCGGCCGGAGGTGTCTGATTGAGTTCATGGTGAGGCAGATGAGAGCTCGGGAAGAAGCTCGATGTGAATGCAATACAATGTGTTGTGTACGAAATAAGCGAACTGTAGTACTACGCAAGATGGTTGATCTTGAATTCAATTGAAACAGAGATGTCGTGTTAATTAAATGAAACGAATTGTTGATGGAGCTGTGATGTAACAGGTAGGTCGAGCTCCAGTTGACGTTTAATCCAAGCTCGAGGATAGCTGGAAAGCATCGGCTCTGTAAAGCCGAGGATACAGTCGGGCGAGGCACAGACACTACTCGCGGCGCACTGTGACAGCTTCCCCCGGGTCACAGGCTCGATCTTTCAACACAGCAACCAGCTGTAGCCTGTAGCAGCGGGATCCTGGGTAGAGACGGACCCTCTGGCTGGTTCCAGGATGCAAGCTGCGCCACAGGGGCTGGTTCGGGCCATTTCCAGGGGACCCAATCACTGACGGGCGCAATCCAAACACTGGGCCGGATAAGATTCGGGCAAAAAGAGCAGGCGCGGTGCAGCGCGCTCCCAATCTCAAAGGGAAGGGACAGTTTTGTTGCAAGCCTTACGTGGCTTGAATCCATCTCCAGAGATCCCGTCAACCCAAAAATTCGTCCTGACAGATTGCGACAGCGCAGCGGCGGCCTCTTTCCACAGCATCGTCACCCCAGCCTTACACCCTCGTTAACGGCTACATTTCCACACCAAGCCACGCGAACAAGCTAATTGCACGAGTATCCCACCCAAAAGTTCATTCGCGCAACTACCGCTCAAGATGGACTCTGCCGAGCCGGAACAGACTGCCTTCTCGTCGGTCACAGCCCACACCTCGAAGCTGCAAAGAGTACGACGACGATAACCCCCCCCCCCCCCCCCGAATCCGCCTACGACATCTTGCTAACTCCCATCGCAGCAATACCAGGCGCTTCTCGATCAGTCAACCCCTTTCGTGCTTTACAGATGGATCGCCACGGGCGTCTGCCTCCTGGGCTTCTTCGCTCGCATCTTCGTGGCGCAAGGCTGGTACATTGTCGCCTACGCTCTCGGAATCTACCTGCTCAACTTGTTCCTGGCCTTCTTGCAACCCAAGTTTGACCCGTCCAACGAGGCCATGGACACTGAGATGGAGGACGGCGGTGTCGGCATTCTCCCCACCAAGCAGGACGAGGAGTTCAAGCCCTTCATCCGCCGCCTTCCCGAGTTCAAGTTCTGGTACTGGGCCACCCGCGCCATCGCCATCGCCTTCTTCTGCAGTTGGTGGGAGATCTTCAATGTTCCCGTCTTCTGGCCTGTCCTGGTCATGTACTGGTTCATCCTCTTCTTCCTGACGAGTACGTTTCACATCCCCACTCCTTGTCTCCCTGGCATTCACCCTGGCGCAGAGCTGACCATCACCCCTTTGCAGTGCGCAAGCAGATCCAGCACATGATCAAGTACCGCTACGTTCCCTTCACCTTTGGCAAGAAGAACTACGCCAAAAACAGCTCCTAAAGTGGGGGCCACGCAACTTAACGACGCGATGGAATCAGCGGGTTTTTACGAGAGACAAATGTCGTTGTCACGCCCATCGAGGTGGGACAAGTGTAAGAGTCTAGGCACGCGAAAGGGAAGAAAAATTAGAAAGTACGTGAGGACGAATACACATTTTTGACGAAGTCTGGATGGCGACGATAGGCGAAGGCAAACTGTATGTACCTATAGAAAGGAGGCCACGGGTATGAGTGCATGGATGGTTGCGACGGGCAAACTACACGGGGCGCATCAGGAGGTCCTCCTGCACAGTCGGGAGCCATTGCCCCGTTGATGAATGACGGTTTTGCTTTGAAATCATTCATCTCATACTACGTATTGTAATAGAGAGGACAAATCTGTCTCTGATTCTTCATCCATGACACAGCGCTATCTCCCTTTTTTATATATATATATTTTTTTTGGTTTCCTGTCATCGTCAAGCTTGACAGCTTTGGGAGTGCTGTGTCTTCGTCTGATAGAGCTGATAAGGCTACAGGTCGAGGTCCGGGCGCTGGCTGGCGCTACCACATTCTACAGGTAAGGTACCCCAAACTACCTTACAGCCTCGTGGAACTTTTCCGGGCCAATTGCACCTTCCTAGTCAACGCGACCGCGACGACAGCTCCCCGCCGCCAACGCTCGAAGCCATCCTCTTCTCCTCGACAACCCAATCCAATTCTCAATCGCGACCAAGATCTCGAGCCAGTGAACGCAAACAACCGCACTTGAACAGCCACGATGTCGTCCTCGGCGCCTCGCGGCGGCGAGCGCATGATCCATCAGGATTTCATTGCCAGAATCCGATACTCCAACGCCCTCCCGCCGCCCCCTAACCCTCCCAAGCTCCTCGACATCCCAAACACCGGCTTGGCTAGCGGCCAGTACACAACACCGGGATTTGCATCACGTCTGGCGAGAGAACAACCTCTCAACATTGAGGTCGATGCGGAGCTCGGCATGCCCTTGGACTTGGTGGGCATGCCGGGTATCTTTGACGGAGACGAGAGCTGTAAGCGCGGCTACGTTGCGCCAAAGGGGATCTCAGTACTGACATCGATACAGCTATCCAAGCCTCTTCGCATCCGCCTGCCGTCCATCCTCACGATAGAGCCCTCCTGAGACCACTGTCTACCCTTGGCCGAGCTAAGAGCAACGCCGACGCATCAGTCTCCTTCCTGAGAAGAACAGAATACATTTCCTCCGTAGCACCCAGAAAGGCTGGAGTCGCCGCGGGAGCATTCATCAATCCCAAGATCAAGCGCGCAGAGAAGCGTCGCTCTCCCGAGCCGGACAAGGACTCACCGGCTGCCATCAGACGCAAGATTGAGAAGAGCTTCGAGAGCGCCGAGCGCTTCCTCAGCAACCCGACTCGCCATCGCCACCCGAGCAAACCAAACGTCCATCTCACGCAGTCTCTGCCGCTGCTGCCCGACCACGATGCCTTCCCCGACTCAGGCGCCTACGTCACCGTCAAGCTCCTCACGAACCCCGTGGCCAGCGCCAACAAGTATGACAGCCGCCTGCTCAGCGGTCTGCTCCGCCCGCTGGACAGGAGCCCCGAGGAGAACGAGGCCTTCCAGGCCGCCGTCGAGGCCCACGAGCGCGATCCCGCACGCAACCCCAAGCCCGCCAACCTGATGGACTACAGCTTCTTCCTTCCCAAGACCAAGACGACGGGCGACAACTTCCGGGCCAAGTTCGACCCGGAGAACCCCGACCGCGACGACGAGTCGCTTTACACGTACCAGAGCGGCTCCAACCCGTGCTTCCAATTCTCACGGCTGCGCGCTTACGAGACAACAAAGGAGATTGAGCTCGACCACAACACAAAGTACAACGAAGAGGTCATCCTCGCCTTCAACGACGAGCCCACCGCGGGCGGCAGGCCCAAGGCGGCATACTACTACCCGGTCATCCAACGCACGACCATCCGTCCCCAGCGCGCCAAGAATATCGCTCGTACCCTTAGTCAAGTAGACGACGAGACGCAGGTTGTCAACGAGGTGGAGATCTCCATTACCGATCCCAAGGGGGCCCCGGCCGAGAACATGAAGCGGTACAAGGAGAAGCCCATTGGCTATGTCGAAGAGGCCGAGCCGGTTGAAGAGACTTCTCGTGCGCCTGGCACTCCCTCGGACCGGGACGCTGATGGCGATGCTGATGCGGACGAGGAAGATGAGGATTGAGAGGTGGTGAAACCATGAGCAAGGAGGTCGCGGTCCCAATTCGAGGATGTAACATCAGTTCCTTTTTCACATACCATCTAGGCGTTTGGATGTGAAGAATCAAAAGAAAACAGGGTAACCACGATGGTGGCCATTTTAGACTTAATGAATGTCCCAATGATGAACTGACTCTCACGGATTGATACACTGTCATCGCTCACCGGGGGGAGGGGGGAGGGGGTTGAGTACGTCCAATCGACGCATTAACGTACTTGCCAACAGTTGTCAAGAACGGAGCCGAGAATGGGTACAAGTAATATGTTGTCATGACTTTGAATTAGGTATATGTAGCTCTTCTCATACAGCGGCTCGAGCTCGGCGGAGTTCTTCTTCCCCGACTCGTTCCCATCATGTGTAATCTCTGGCACAGGTGGTCCTCCATTTAAGCATACTTTGAGGACCGAGCAGAAATGGGTGCAAGAAAAGTTACAAAGAAAAGCAAAAATCTCATGTGGTATAAGGGAACAATAGGCTCTTCTAAGAAGGAAAAAAACGAAAACAGACTTTGATATCGTCCCTTCCTCCTCTCCCTCCCGTTTCATAGCGTAGAAATGTTTACCCAGAGAACTCCTTTTTTTGGTTTTTTTCCCTCCATGGGAAAAGAAAGAAAAAATACATGGCAAACGTGTAGTGAGCATCGGCGGTGTATACTCGTCCTATCAGTTACAAACCCAGTAGCAAGTATCTACGCGGGCGGCTCTGGGATAGTTTCGACAGCAAAGCCAATGGTGTCTCTCTTGTCGTCGATGACTCGACCGTATCTTAACGAAGTTAATTAGTAAATACAAGAGATTTCTTTGGTTGGTCAAACTTACTCTAACAGGAGGCGGAAGAACCAAACCTCCATGTCCTCTTTGCGAAGCACCTTATTCGCCCAGTCGCGACTGCTAAGAGCCATACGCTCAGCCTCGTTGCGCCCCAGTGCGCCGTCGCCAAAGAAACGCACGCTCTCGAGCCAGTCGTCGCCCTGCAGGCTCATGGGGATGTAGTGCGCCCAGGGCTTGAGCCACTCAAAGTGCCACTCGCGGAAGATGGCGAGCTTGAAGACGAGGGAGCGCGACTGCAGAAAAGCGTAAAAGCGGCCCGAGAAAGCGTTGCCGTCCATGTCGAGGAGGTACTTGTACTTCCAGGCGTCCTGCTGCTCGGCGTGGCCCTGGATCTTGAAGAACTCCTTTTCGGCGTCGCAGTCGCCCGGGTCGCACTGCCCGACGTGCGAGAAGAAGACGTCGACGATCTCGCGGTAGTCGCCGCGGGGCACCTCCTTCACCTCCCACTTGGGGGTCTGCTCGTCGCCGCGGTTGGTGTAGATCTTTGCCTGGTCGGCGGCGTTGAGCTTCTGCACGAGGTGCTGGCGGTGCTGGCGGCGCCATCCGCCGTTGCGGGAGAAGCCGCCTGTCGTGGAGCCGCGCCAGTAGAGGCGGTCCTGCTTCTGCTCCCAGAGCATATCCTTTGACTCGTCGTAGGCGACCTTCTTATACCAGTACCAGGGCGACGGGTAGAGGATATCGTTGTAGGAGGAGATTTTGGATTGGGAGAAGATGGGAAATAGGTCGTGGACGATGTTGTAGGCGTTGGGTCGGTCGAAGAAGCCGTAAGTCGCGCTCAGGGAGGGCGACAGGCAGATGTCCGACATGGCGGTGACGTTGTAGACGAAACCGAGCTCGCTGACGCCGTACTTGCTCATGTCGTCGGACAGCTCGTCGTCCTCGAGTGCGCGCGAGGGGCTGTCGGGTGGGCAGGACATGCGAGAGTGCGTCCAGGTGGGCTGATGGGCAAAGACGTTGAAGCGGGTGCGCTTGTACTCGTCGATAATGTTACCTTCGCTAAGGCCAGCGGCGCGCTTCGTAAAGGCGTTTTCCGGGTTTATGGCGGCGTTCGCCTTGGGCATGTTGACGTCCTTGGCGCGGCTGACGAGGCGTGCGAGGTCCTCATGGGGGACGACCACGCGCGGCTCGTCGTGGATGTTGAAGGCGATGTCCATGCTGGGCAGGTGCTCGATGAACTTCTTCATCATTCCAGAGGTAGCATCGCGCTGCCAGTCCTGGCCGCCCTGAATGTGCTTGATCTTGTGATCCCGGATCAGGAGACCGATCAGCTTGTTGTCGAAGCCCAGAGCCTCCCGCGCCCGCTCCCGTATCGTCGCCGGCTTCAGACCCCAGAAGGGCGTGAGCATCTCGTGTATCATATCGAACTCGTCAATGAGCTGTACGCCGCTGGCCTTTGCGAACTCGAACCACTTGTCAAAGTTGGGGGGCGGCGGGATGTTGTAGCGGCGCTTGTACTCCTTGACGGCCTCCTCGAGCGTCTTGGACTGGCGCTTCAGCGTATCCTGGAACTCCTTCTCGGCGCTCGTCATGAGGTGCCACATGGGGTGGGAGCCGGTGCCGCCAGCGGACTTTGGTCGCCTGTCGGGAGGAGGGGCGGCGGCGGCAGCATCGTCACCGAGTATCTGTTGATCTTGCGGGGGCGGAGGGGGCTTGTCGGAGCCTGGTAAGGGGACTGTCGGTCTTCGATCGGAGGGAAGTGTGAATACTGTGTATGCGCATATCAACAAGAAGACGAAGAGAATGACGACCGTCCATTGACGACGGCGCATGGTTGGTTGCTGGCTGTCAGCCTGCCCCTTTTGTGGCGGTGGGCTGCGTCGCTTTTGTCTCTCGAGCCTTGGTCGGGTGCTTTCGGGGGGTGGAGGAGAGGGCCAGCAGTCTATCGCAGTTCGCCCTATTGCGTCAATGAGGATGAAGGAAAGAAAGA